TAAAATACCATAAACCGACTGGTGTATAAACAACAGAATGTAATTGCTCACAGTTCTGTGATTTTGGACAGAAATCAAAATCAAGATGTTGGCTGATGTAGTGTCTGGTTTCACCGTTACTCATAGGTGGTGCCTTCTTGCTGCATCTTCATACGGTAGAAGAGGCATTCAGGCTCCTTGGAACCTCTCTTGTGAGGGCACTAATCCCATTCGTGAAGGCTGCACCCTTATGACCTAATCACCTCCCAAAGGCCCCGCCTCCTAATGCCATTGTATTGAAGATTCAGTTTCAGCATAGGAATTTGTAGGGGACACAAACATTCAGCCCATAGCACCCCAGAAATCAGTGTGGGCACATGAGCTGAGTCACACTGGGGAAGTTGCATTCTTTCTGAATCTTACTTTCCTCACCTGTGAAAAGGAGGTTGAGGATCCTTGTGGCTGGAGAATGACTCTGGGGCTCAGATGGGATGCAGTTTTATAACAGCGCCGCCTTCATTAGCAGTTGCTCATCTCTGGTGAATGTCATCAAGGGCACCTGCTCTGAGAACTGAGTCAGAGATGGAGAAGAAAGATGGAGGGTAATGTGGGGTTTGTTTTAAGAAGAGAGAGAAAATGTGTGTCACTCTTTAAAATGACAAGTGATAGTGGAAATGCATTAGTGTTCCCAAGCTGTCCATTGCGTTCTCCAGACTGGAGCTGCTGTGGGGTGTAGTTCACAGCTGGGCCTGCTGAGAGCTGCAAGCTGCCTGTTGGACAGTCTAGAGAGTCTGCCTGTCGCCTCTGGAAGGACAAAGACCAGGAAGGAGGGGGCTGGGTAAGACGAGGGAAAGGCTGTTGTTACCAGTGTAGAACTTAGGAGTTGCTATGGGGGAGTTAACTGGGAGGGAAGAGATTGGTTCAGGGTTCCCACAGCTGTCTGGGAAGCCACCAACAGCGAGACCCTCTCCAGCACCTGCTGGCTGGCTGGCCCAGGGGTATGTTTTCATTGCTCTTACTGGTTTCCCCAGCAATGAACAGGAGACTTTGGCAAGGTAGGTGTTTATTCTTAAGCTCCTCTGTGCCTGCAGTGACCCTTGCAATCTGTGATTCATTTGGAAACCTCCAGTACTTTTATGTCCTTGGTTTTTGGTGTTTTTGAAACATAATTTCTCTTATGGCTTTTGGAGGCATAGTGAAGATGCATTCACATTTATCCAGTGTTTTGGAACTGAATGATGTAATATGAGGACTGAGTGTTATGGAATGGAGTGTTATTACGATCATTACAATACAGTGAACAGAAAGGATGCTTGCAAACGTTCCAGGCAAAAGCTGGCAGTTCCCGGCCTCTGCACCAGGAGTGAGGGCTTGTCACTCCCTGTGCCCAGTTTCTCCTGGTTTTTTTTCTTGCCTTTCACCTAAGATGAGCCTTGCCACATAGAGGTAGGAGAAGCAGGGATTTCTAGAGAACAACTTTGGCAGAAAAGGTCATATTGAGGGGCTGGCTGATTGAAGAGTATACCAGGTCCTGTAGCCAATTTGCCTGGTGGCTTTCGGGGAGGAAAGAGAATAATGTGTT